TCTGATCGCCAATGCCAAAGGTTCCAACACCAGCGCAAATAGAAGGGGTGAAAGAGGACAACCCTGGCGGGTGCCTCTACCCAATGTAAAAAAGTCAGAGTTACAACCAGGAAGCCTTATTCTTGTTTTAGGAGAGTCGTATAGGGCGTGCACGCCTGCCAAAAACCCGTCACTAAAGCCCATTTTCCCTAGCAGGGAGAATAAATATGGCCAAAGAACACTGTCAAAGGCCTTGTTTATATCTAAACTCATCAACAGAACCTCTTTGGAATGTAAATTAGCATCTTGAATAACATTTAGAGTGAGGCGAATGTTATCAGTAATAAATCTGTCGGGAATAAAACCCGAACTGGTCTGGAGAAACCAAAGAGGAGATGATAGGGGCCAACCTGTTCGCCAAAATACGGCTAAATATCTTCAGATCGTTATTCATTACTGAGATTGGTCTATAGTTTTGTGGCAAACAGTGGTCTTTCTGCGGTTTAGGTATTAGGGACATATTAGCCAATAGCATCTCCTCAGGGAACCTACCCCCCTGCAAAACATCATTGAATAAAGTTATCAAATAGGGAGCCAGCGTGGGGGCAAAATGCTTATAATAACTAGCGGTAAATCCATCTGGACCCGGTGCAGTAGAGCGTTTTAGCGCACTAATCGCACAAGTTATTTCCTCCAAAGTGCAGGGGGCATTAAGGGAGGCAATCTGAGAAGGTGTAAGAGCAGGGAGGGATATAGAATCCAGCCATGAGTCTGATGGAGGAACAGAATCTGACTGCGGAGAAGCTAGTAGATTAGAATAAAAGTTTTCAAAAATACCTAAGACTTCCTGAGGTAGAGATGAGATAGTACCCCGAATTAGTGCGTAGTTTATACACGTGTGGGGGGCGCAAGAGAGTGGTTCAATTTCCTTGCAAACATGGTAGATGCTGAGTTGCTATGTAATAGGAACGAGGCCTTCGACCAGCGGAGGGCCTTTTCAGTCTTTTGAGAAAGCAGGGTATTCAGTTCTAAGCGTTTTTGGGACAATAACTGTTTATTGAGGAGAGATGGATTAGCAACATGACTTCTATAGTGTGCTTCTAATTCTCGGGTAAGAAGTAGTACTTGCTGCCAATGTTTTCTATTTCTGGATGAAGCCATGGAGATAAGTCGGCCTCGTAGGACCGCCTTATGGGCTACCCATAGTGTGGCCGAGGATATATCAGGGGTTGAATTAGATTGAAAATATTCCCGGATAGATGTAACCACCTCTTGACGAGAGTCAATATCAGTTAGCATAGAGTCATTAAGTCTCCAAGAGAAGGGAGTAGGTGCCAATCCTATAAATGTGATAGATAAAGCCAAGATATTGTGATCCGACCAGGGGCTCAAGTGAATACAAGCTGTCTTAGAATTAGCTAGTAAAATCGGGGTACAATAGATATAGTCTAATCTGGCATAAGAGTCATGTGGGTGAGAATAAAATGTGTAATCCCTGGCTCCCATGTTGTGCGCTCTCCAGGCATCCACCAACTGGAGGGCATCTAGTTTCTTGGTAAGGGATTTTGGGAAAGCTTGGGAAGAGTGTGAGGAGGAGCTACGATCCAAAAGAGGGTTTGCCACTAGATTAAAATCACCACCCACCAATAGATGAGGGGATAAAAACCTATCCAGAGCACCAAAAAATTTAGAAAAGAAGGAAGATTGTGCCGAGTTCGGTGCATAAAGATTAGCAATCGTAAGTTCTCGACCGGAAAGGGTGCCTTTAAGAATGATAAACCTACTGTCCGGATCACGATACACATGTTGAACCTCAAAGGGGAATGAGTTATGTAGAAAGATGGCTACTCCCCTACTCTTGGAGGAATGTAGGGTATAATACCCCTGCCTATAGGATTTATGAAAATATGTTGGGTGTTTTGCGGCTGCAAAATGTGTTTCCTGTAATAATATAATTTTAGCTCCTAGACGCTTATATTGAAGAAAGGCTGTTTTGCGCTTATTTGGCGAATTGAAACCCTGGACATTATGCGAGATACATTGAATTACCATAGTAAACAAAGTTTGACACTATCAGCGTAAAAATACACACTGGAGAGATATCTCCTAAAATTATTTGGCTAGACATGATGACCCACAGGTCCACATCAGACAGATCTACCTGCAGCAGTACCAGCCTAGGGGACCCCCAGACCCCAACATGGGGGTCGTGACGTCCACAGACCGGCACAATACCAACGTCATACACTAAAGTTTTGTGAAGAGAATGAGCAAAAAACAATAGAAACGAAGCTTTAATAGCTCCTACAGTTGAGAGGGTAACTAAAGAACATGGATCAGGCAGGAAATTTACCATACCCGATAAAACAAAAAATTCAGACATTAACGGGCCAAATGGGCCCAGACCCTGTCTCCGTAAAACATGGAAAACGGAGCCGTCACCCCTCAATCGGGCGGCAACACCTCCGGCCATGTCAGGAGGCAGGGTGGGGAAACGTGTCCAAGAGTTGTGAGACCATGGTTTAATGGGCGTAATTAAGAGGGCCCGCAGACCCTTGTAAAACTTAACTCGTCCAGCTATTAATACAAGGCACACATAGTTCGCAGAACCACAAAGATATCAGAGCAGCGACCACAAAAATGCATATCCTGACAGTGTAAGAGATAAAGAGCAAAATCCCTGTGTCCCAGTTCCTGTCAAAGTCATAATATACAATAGGCAGGACCAAGGACCGTCAAAACAATGGGTATCAGGCATGTGAAAATGGTCCTGTCAGCCCGGTGCTTGTCTGACTCTCCTTCTATCCCTTCGTGGAGATGGAGTATGCCAAATGGGAGAAACACGAGGGGTGGAGGGTGGACGCCGAGGCGATGGGGCATCCGCCAGGCCCAATTTGGCCAAAATTTCCCTACCTTCAAGAAGGGATGTGGCTATATATGTGCTCCCATTATGTGGAACTATCAGCTTAAAAGGGAAGCCCCACTTGTAGCGGATACGAGCTGAGAACAGGGCAGTGGTAACTTCCTTCATTTTTCTACGTTTCTCCAACGTGGCCGGGGAAACATCTGGAAAGATTTGTAAAACCGAGCCATCGAAGGAGATTGTTGGGGTATTACGAGCAGCTCTAAGTATGTCTTCTTTGGTCAGGAAATCCTTCATACACAGGACAATATCCCTAGGCGGCTTGTCATTAGGAGGTTTAGGGCGCAGGGCTCTATGGATGCGGTCACAGGCAAAAGACCCAGGGTCGCGATCCGGAAGGAGTGACTTGAATAACTTGGTTGTGGTTAATGAGAGGTCAGATATAGACTCCGGAATTCCCCTGATTCGCAAATTATTCCTGCGGTTGCGATTATCTAGGTCCTCTACCTGCGCCTGCAATTGTAAAAAAGCCGTTTGTAGATGGTCATGCTCTCTGGAAAGTTCACCATAGGCTAAGCTAAGTTCATCGTGTTTGGTTTCTAAGCGGTCGGTCCTGGAGCCCAATGTGGCTATTTCCTGAGAGAGAACATTAGTGCTTTTATGCAATTCTGATTGGAATTTGGTGGCCAACTTGGTGTACATAGATTCCAGACAAGACTCCAGATCCCCCTTTGTGAGTTGCTGTGTATTTTCACTGACGAGGGCTAAGGAAGGAGCTATGGTATCCTGCGTGGGATCGGACAGGGATGCTCGTTCTGTAGTGACTGGAGACATGCTGCAAAGCTCTTGTGCCTTAAGTAGGTATGTCGTGAGGGACTTTTGAGCTTGTCCCTTTTTTTTCTTGGTGGACGGCATACAGGGAGTCTCCTGGGGGTGATCAGCTGAAAATTGGATAAGAAATGGAGAAAATAACCCCAGGAGACCTATAACGCCCAAAATAGATTAAAGGTTGTAGTTACATGAATGCTGTCGGGGTCATCCGCGAAGACGTTATATTGTAAAAATATTTAGCAGGCCGTGAAAAGGCAGAGGGGACACAGGCCGCAGTAACCACACTTTTATATCTTGCAGGAGCAGGGTCACAGCACCAGGTCCCACCCCAGGGCCTGAGAGGGATGCAGAGCGTGGAGCAGAGGGCCTCCAATATCAAGCACAGGGCCCTCCAGGGCAAATCCAAAAAAACACCCCTCGGAGCAGTATCAGGGCTCCAGTAGGCCACGGAGCCCGACAGGGGCCGCTGCAACGGAGGCAGATGGCGTCTGGGGCCGCAGCTGTGAAACCCAGTCCCCAAATCGCAATGGGGGGACCTGAGGACTGTCAGCCCGTCCCCCCTTACTCACTGTGACCGGATGAGAGGAAGGCCCCGTCAGATGGTGCAGGCCACAGCTGCCCGCCGCAGTGGGGAGTGGCAACACTGAGCGGCGACCCTCTCACAGATCCAGCTGATGCAGAGGGCGCCTCGGATGTCCCTGGACGATCCCCCACCACCCGGATGGCAGCGGGTGTGGATGTGAGGCGCCGGAGCCCCGGCCCACGCGGCCGCACCAGGCCGCAGATATCCGCCGCCACGGAGGGCAGAAATATTACCCGGAGCCCCTCTCCCAGGTCTAGGAGATGTCCCCAGGGATCTCCGCTGCCTCTCCGTGATCCGCTGCTGCACGGATGACAGCGGATTGAAAACTTCGGCGCCGGAGCTCAGGATTATGCGGCCCATATTGAATACGGCAAAAATTGTAGTATTTCAAATATATGTCAATGTATTTGGGAAGAATATTTTTAAAATATATTTCAAATATATTTTTCTTTCATGTGGGTAGTATTATGAAAAAGACACACTCTACATAGTGTAATCCAGAATAAAGCACCAATTTAAAGTGGTAACTGCACTTACAGTGAAAAGATGACAATCAGGCACTTCATATCATATAAACAACTCATATTCCAAAATCCAAGATGGCTGCAGCAGGATCATGTAGCCTACTAGCTTTGTCAAAGATGACATCATCATGAGCAAGTGCCTGATTGTCATCTTTTCACTGTAAGTGCGTTTACCACATTAACCTCCCTAACGGTATTCCTGAGTGTAGCTCGGGGTAAAATGTCAGTACCAAAAGTGGTAACCCCGAGCTACACTCGGGCTTACCATGCAGAGCTGTATAGGGAGTCCCTGCAGCACTTACCTTGTCCTTCGCTCCCGCGGTGTGTCCCCTGCAGCGTCCCCAGCCATCTCCTCCGGCAGATGCCGGCATCCGGCTACTGTGTTCCGGTCCCTGGGACATACGGGCGCCGGCGGGAAATTTGAAAATTTTAAAAAATGACATTTTTTTCAAAATCATTTTTCATAGTAAAACATTGCTGTTTCAACCCATTTCACATACATTTTGTCCCTAGTACTTTGTCCTGCGCCCTGCCTGCATTTTGAATGTTCTTTCTGCCTGGAAACTTAGAAAAGTTCATGGCGTCCAAAAAGCGTCCCTTTAGGTCAAAAGCGGGTTTAGATCAGCTAGAGAACAGTGATAGTAAATCAGAACTACTTGCAGAATTGAGTGATAATGATTCGTGGGGAAATTCGTCATCAGACACTGAAAACAATTTTGCGACTTTGCTCAGCAATGTGAGAACTTGGCGCTATATTTCAAATTTCAGTGTTTTTGGTTTGATTATATTATTGAATTAAATGTAATATTATTATATTATTATTTTTTATGATTTTTTTATTAAATTAGAATTTATGATTTCATGTTTCAAGTTTTAGCATACCCGGGATGTATAATAGAATCTTGTTCAGACAGATTTCAGTGAGTTATTCCTAAATATTACAGCCTACAATAAAAAAACTACATATTTCCATGCAGAATAATGGTACCGCTTTCAGAACCAAAAATCGGAAATAATCATACCGCTAGGGAGGTTAAATTGGTGCTTTATTCTGGATTACACTATGTAGAGCGTGTCTTTTTCATAATACTACCTACATAATACTATATTTGAAATATATTTTTAAAATATTCTTCCCAAATACATTGACATATACTTGAAATACTACAATTTTGGCCGTATTTAATATGTTTCAAAATATATTTCACTAAATATATATATATATATACTTTATGTTGAAATGTGTTTTTATTACAAAATATATGAAAAGTATTTTTAAAAATACATTTTCAAATATACTATATGTATTTAAAAATACATTTAATCTACATTTTTGGAATTCATTTACAAATATAAGTAAAAATATATGTTAAAATTACTTTTTTATATGTTAAAAAAAATCTGAAGAATATATTTAAAAAATATATATTTTTTAGTATATTCTGTAATATATAAAAAAAACGCATTTCAACATGCAGTTATATAGGTTTACACCATGGGGAGCGTGCCTTTTTGTTTTCCATGATACCATGTCCAACTGAGTATATATGTACAGTGATCTGATGTAACGCAGCAGTATCATCGTTGGACATGTGGTTTTGAGGAAAGCTGGATATCTTGGATTGATATACAAGCGCTGGTTGACCACTTTTAATTGGGGGTCATATGATTCTGGTTAGCCTCCCTTTGTTGTACACCGAGGTGCTGTGTGGTTCATCATTAAGACGTTTTGGTGGCGTTTTGTTTCCACATCTGTCATTTCCCTCATGATCGAAGAACCACTGAATTCACAGTTTTTGGCTTTACATTTGGATTCCTTTATTTTTTCAGTTTGTGGTGACACATAATTGACTTGGTGCTGTACTCTGATTAAAAAGTGTTCCTTTAATTTTTTTGAGCAGTGTATAATGGATCGTGCTAGCTGCTGTTTTTTTACATCCAACGGAGTCCACGCTCTGTTTTTTTTTTCGTTCTCAATTGCTTATAAAAGATTTATATTCACCACATTATCTAGCTTTACTTGCTTTGTTTGACCCTGATTCAATATATTGAGTGTCAGGAACAGAGGTCACCTGCTTGTCTTCATAGACTGGGCCTGATTTACTGAATGACATAGGTGTATGTCAGCACATCAATGCTGCACATAGGATGTGCAAATAGATATCATTAACCACATATCTACCGGTTATTCTACCGGACAATTTTTTCATTTTTTGCACACATGTTAATTAATTATGCCTTTTTTGCTAGAAATGATTGTAACCCCCCAAAAAAGTATATATTTTTTGAAAGCAGAGACCCTGGAGAAAACAATGGTGGTATTTGCAATCTTGTATGCTGCACAATGATTGTGCAATTTTTTATCAAACACATATTTTCAGGAAAAAATATACTAAAATTAATTTTAGTACAAACACAATATTGTACCCAATTTTTTAGGTAAAATATAAAAGTTGGGGTTGCATGCCAAGTCTTACAACTGCAAACGCTTGTGGAATTGTAAAAAACTACTATACCCCAAATTCTTCATAGGCGACTCTTTAAAAGTGGTTAGAGGTCATTAGTTTAGTGTTAAGGTGAGCTATGGCCCTAGAATTATTGCTCTCATGCTGACGTTCACAACAATACTTCGCATGTGTGGCACAATAGAGGTTTACATGCATGTGCTCGCCCTATGCTTCTCTTTTTGTGTGTTCAGGGGTAACGGGAGCTCTTTAATTTGCTTACATTATTTTTTTTTATTTTTATACATCTTTTTAAAAAAAATTTAAATTACATATTTTTTTTTACTTTATTGTCATCACTAGGGGGCTAAGAAGCTCCCTATGCGATAGAATGGGCAGGTGACAGATACTCTGTATGGAGACATTGGAGATCTATTAGACCTTCAATTTCTCCCCTGTCCTCCAATGCACAGGTTGTGCTGGTATAACTGCATCCTTGGCTACACATCACTTCTGGGGTCATTAGTTTCAGGTGAGATCACGGTATGAATGTTCCAGAGATTCTCCTGCTTAGTCTGAGGAATCTGTTTCCCGATAGCTGGGAAGTGGGGGGAGCTGAGAGTCATAAAAATGATCGGTTGGCTATAGAGCTGATCTATTATATTGTAACACCCTTGGACGGTTCTTAAAGCTGGTATCAAGTTCACGGCAGCAGCTAGGTGCTTAATTTAATCACTTCCCTGCCAAGATGTTTATAAACATATCTTGGTATATAAGGCATTAAAGACTAAATCTACCTTTCCCTAAGTTATCAATGTACTGTACATTGCAAGCTTTTTTACAAACTTTGTAGTGGATTTCTCCTCTTCTCTGTTCTGAAGAAAAAGCTTTTCCACCATGACTTTTCCAGATAAATTTCTAATTAGGAAGGTAGGGTAGTATCGTAGCTTTTTACCATTTCACAGGCATGAACAATATCTATTTACTTGACATAACCCCATCTTTTGTATTTTACCAAAAATGGGTATTATATTGTGTGCACTAAAATTTATTTTAGTGATTTTTTTTTTCCCTAAAAATATGAATTTGATAAACAGTTGTGCAAATATTGAGAGACATAAAAAATTGCAGCTGCAGCAATTTGATTTTACAGGGCCTCTGCTTTCAGAAAATATTTAATTGTTTGGGAGTTTATAGTAATTTTCTAACAAAAAAAATGTCAATTTTAAATTGTGTGCAAAAAAAAAAAAAATTGCCCCAGTAGAAAAGTGGTTAACCTGTTCCCACCAATATGACGACCGAGCGGGACTCTCGTTCATCCGGATGGACGTCCTTCCCAAATTGCACCTTATGCATGCACGCGGGGCCGCACTGGGGCAAAATCTGTCACCAGCAGTGTACCTCAGACACAGCCAATGACAGATCTGTGTACGGGCCCATTGCCAGTATGATGTGACCTGCTGTGACCAATCACAGTAGATCACATGAGAATTGTAAACAGTGGATGGCTTCCTCTCATTTCATCCATTTGTATACAATTGTGTCACTAGTTGTGATTGGTCACAGTGGTCACATGTACAGACTAGGCCAATCAGAGCCCATATGTGTCATGTGATTAGCTGTGGCCAGCTCATCACAACAAAAAACCTGAATTAATTGATTTCATTCAGTTAAATGCTTGCTTATAGCACATAAATTATTTTCTATAAGCAATCATACAAAAAAAACACTGAATACTTCCCCAGAGTAGTACAATGTTACTATGGTAACATTATACTGCTCTGGTCACAGTGTGTTATGGAAAAAAAGAATAAAATGGAATAAAAAATGAAAAAATTGAAAATGTGTTTTTTGTTTTTTTTTTGTATTGTCATCAATGAGTGTCCCTGATCACAGCCACACCAGTTATATGATGTCACTGTATTGCACTTTGAAAACATTTTCTTTTTATTTCTTCCTTTTCCAAAAAATTATGAAAAAAAATTACAACTTCAAAAAACTTGCCATGCCTCTTACTAAATACCTTGAACAGTCTACATTGAAAAAAGGGGTAATTTGAGGGATATCTGTACTGTCCTGACATTTTTGGACCTCAAGAAATTAGATTGGCTATCAATACTTCAGGGTTGATTGATTTTTAGCTATATACCATAGTTTGTGAAGTCTATAACTTTGCTAGAGACTAAATAATAAATACTGATTTGGGTTATTTTGACCAAAGAAAAACGTGTGTTTTCTTTAATTTATCAAAAAAATAAAAAAAAACAGTGGTGATTAAATACCATCAAAAGAAAGCTCTAGTTATGTGAAAATGTAAAAATGCTAAAAATGTAGTTTGGGTACAGCGTTGCATGACCGCGCAATTTTTTTTCTTTCAAAGTGCAAGAGCGCTAAAAGCCGAAAAGTGGCCTGGGCAGGGAGGAGGTAAAAGTGTACAGTATTGAAGTGGTTAAAGGAGACTGTAAAAAAAAAAAAAAGACTCAAAGAATCATGCACAAGAGTATTGTACAGCATACTGTATGTGCATATATTTGTGCACAGGCACTACCCAGTGTATGATTCAGTTTTTTTTGTTTTGATGTTCAGCGTGCACATCAAACTAGAACCTCTGCACATATTGAAAACCAGTGTGCAATCAGTTAGATAGACTAGGTCAGGCATGCTCAACCCATGGCCCATGGGCAAAATGTGGACTGTGTAACGGTCTGATGTTTTCCTACAACCTCAAACCTATGGCAACCTGCACAGCCTTCTTTAGGTACACGTCGCTCTACTGAATGATCACTGGTCCTCCATAATCCCAGTGGCTGTCTTACACACTATTGTGGGCATCTATCTGCTCTTCTCCTTCCTTCCTGGAACACCTTGTTGCAATGTCAGTTGCAGGATGTTGAAACAGACACAAGATGAGTAGGTGTTCTTCAGCTCAGTGGCACTCACACTGTGGGAGGAGAAAAAGCTTCATGGACTGTGTATGCTGCATCGCAGGACTTTGTGACAGAGGGGAATGTCAGAGGACTACATTTCCCAAAGGAGATGGCATGAGGTGGGGACTGATATACACAGAATCCTGAGAGACAGAACAGGAAGTGAGAGATAAGAAAGGTGAAGA